AAAAAAAAAAAAAAAAAAAAAAAGAAAGAAAAAAAAAGGAGGTGCTGTTCCAATGTGACATTTAAGTGTCTTTCAGCTGGGTGATCAGCTTTTAAAACAACAAGAGAAAATGTGGTGTGTACACATTTCGGCAAAACCTTGAAAATGCACTTTACGTGTCTTATGTCTCGTTTTATATCTTTCGTAGCTATTATTTTCCTGTCATCACTCTTTGCCAGAGAGATCAAATGAAAACCCGGCCCGCATGGCCTGCTGAGTACAGACCACCGTGGCTGCCGGGTATCCTCCACCCCAATCTCCTCTATCAGACCACAGCCTCGGGTGGACGAGACGCCACCATCTGCTCCAGGGGTGGGCAAGTGACCCGAACCGCAGGCCATTACAATTCCCTGGCCACGGCAACTGGCTCAGTAGGAGGCGTCTGTCGGGACTTATGACCCTCAGAACACAAACTGGCAAGCAAACTGGAGCCACTGCAACTATTCTGTACCAAAACAGGAAAATGTTATCTCTAGATGGAGGCAACATGGAAAAAATCAGGCCAAGTGGGGGTGGGGGGAGGGGGAGGAGGGAGATGGTGGCTCATTGTTATGGGAGCCAATTCAATCTCTTCTCGCTGACACCACTTTGGGTTGTTTTGTTATCTTTACTACGCAACCCAAAGAGCCCTTCGCGATAATGATAATCGTTACAACAAAGTAAGAGGCTGGACAGACGGCCACCCTTTCGCAAGCACTGGGTGCAGGCCCAACGTGGAGCCACCCTCGCCCCGCACTCACCCCTCCACGTGCAGCCATATGCCATACTGCTCGCAGAGTTCTTTCAAACGCCCGATCTTATCTGTGTGCCCTACTGCCGCGGTTCCTAGGATAAAACACACAAAAAACGACACTGAAAGGAATACTTTGAGCCCTTACGGCAGGATAAAAGCCTATAAATACGTTATCTAAGAAGGAAGTGACACTGTATCTGTTTTATTGAGATTGTGTACGTGAGCTGGCTTAAAACCAACTGTTACAAGTTGATCTTTCAAGGTCTGAAGCGTGCATGTTCTCCATTTTATGTATCTATAAAATCAGGCTTGTTAATTTTGTTACTTAAAATCTCCATATACTTGTTTTCCATCCACTTAATGTTGTTTCTGGGGAAACATATTAAAGTCTCTCACCAAGATTGTGGGTTTGTCAATTTATACTTGTAGCCTATCTATTTTTCCTTTAATCTTCCTTTATACATTTCAGGTATGTTCATAAGCTTTCTTAATTACTGTGCCTTAGCGGATTACACGAATTTTAATTAGCGTGGAGTCTACCTTATCTCACACGAACACCACTATAGTACTTTCATTCTGTCACCATTTGCCCAAGATACCCTTTTCCATGTTTGCTTTTTGTCATTTCTAGGTTATTGTTTTTTATTTAAAAAAATGTTTTTAACGTTTATTTATTTTTGACAGAGAGAGAGAGAGAGAGAGAGAGAGAACGAGCACGAGCAGGGGAGGTGCAGAGAGAGGAAGAAACAGAATCTGAAGCAGGCTCCAGGCTCCGAGCTGTCAGCACAAAGACTTCCACGGGGCTCGAACCCACGAACCGTGAGATCACAACCTGAGCCGTAAGTCAGATGCTTAACTGACTGAGCCATCCAGGGGCCCCACTGGGTTAATTTTTTAATTAACCACCATTAAAAAAAAATGTTTATTTTTGAGACAGCGTGAGTCAGAGAGCCGGGGAGGGGCAGAGAGAGGGAGACAGGATCCCAAGCAGGATTCCAAGCAGGCTCCGTGCTGACAGCAGAGAGACTGGTATGGGGCCCAAACTCACAAACCGTGAGATCCTGACTTGAGCCTAAGTTGACGCTTAATCGACTGGGCCACCCAGGTACCCCTGGGTTATTTTAATTTAGGTGTGTCCATTATACACAGAGATAAATTTGTGGATTTTTTTTAAACCTAGTATGAAAAGTCCTTTGTTTTAAAACAGAACATGCATTTTGAAGTTGGTTTAAACATACTGAACACTTTAACCCACCCCTTGTTAAGTATGTATACACTACAGGTTGGGTAGGGAAGTCCCTCTTCACAGAGCATGAGTAAAACCTGAACTCGTGCATTCTCCTGACTGTCTTAAACTTCCAGTTAGCAGAACCCCACCCAGTAAGCTTCCAAATCCCAACCAACTGCCTCAACAGACCCAACCGATGCAAGTGGTCCTTTTGCAGGGTTTGGGTCTATAAACCATTTATAGCTGATTTTTGTATAGACAGTGAGGGAAGAGTTAAGGTTCAGTTTTTTTTTTCCCCCCCATATGGGTATTTACTTGTTCCAAGACCACTGGTGGAAAAGACCCACCTTTTTCCCTTGAAATAACTTGGCATCTCTGTAAAAAGCCAAATGACCATATACATGTAAGTCTATTTTTTTTTTAATTTTTATTTTTTAACGTTTATTTATTTTTGAGAGACAGAGCACAAGCAGAGCAGGGGCAGACAGAGGGGGAGACACAGAATCCGAAGCAGGATCCAGACTCTGAGCTGTCAGCATAGAGCTTGATGCAGGGCTTGAACCCACAAACTATGATATGAGAGGACGACCTGAGCTGAAGTTGGATGCTCAAGTGACTGAGCCACCCAGATGCCCCCATGTGAGTCTTCTAAGCTCTATTGTCTTCAATTATTCCCACACTTTCCTGGTTATCTGTAGCTTTATAGTAAGTCTAAAAATCAGAGAGCCTATGTCTTCGAATTTTATTTTTTCAAAATTATTTTGGCTATTCTCACATCCTCTGTATTTCCACATAAATTTTAGAATCCGCTAATCAACTTTTATAAGAAATTGTAGCGTGCTGAGATTTTGATAGGGATTGATCTATAGAATCTATAGATTGGAGAAATTAGACTTTCTAATATTGAGTCTTCCAACATAAGCATACGGCATACCATTCCATTTATTTGGGTTTTCTTGAATTTCTCTTAGCATTATTTTGTAGTTTTCAGCGTACAGATCTTGCATATATTTTGGTTTTTTTTTTAATGTTTATTTATTTTTGAGAGACACACACACACACA